TGTGTGTGTGTGTGTGTGTGTGTGTGGGGATGATGTCATCATCTGACATAAATGCACATGAAGAAAAAGAGAAACAGGTTGTCATGGCAACTCGTCTACGATCAAATTATATATATAAATCATAACATGAATAGTAGAATCACTTCTTGGCAGCGGCAGCTCGGTTCAGCCTGTCAATCAGTAGCCGGTCAGAGGCGGAGCATCTGGATAGGACAGCCCCAATCTCTGCGTCGTTCCTGCGCTCGATGGCAGCGTCTGCTGCCCCCTCCAGGTCACTGACAACAAGGGTTAGGGTTGTTACCTGAGTGATCTGGGCTCACCTGTTTGATGATGTCGCAGGTATTGTGTCTTACCTGACAACCAGGTGAGCTTTGACCTTCTGCTCAGGAGTTACCTTGGAAACATACTTCTTAGCTTCGTACTTGTTGTTACACTTCATGCAAACGTCCACAAAAGCCTGAAGAAAAGACAGAGCTAAGGCTCATCTATGTTTATTTAAGGTTGCATGATCACCAGCGAAAACTCTATTTAAAACAGCAACATCTTTTCTTACCAGGTAGCCTATAGGAGACTTCTTGCTCTTTGAGAACTTCTCTAACTCCTCCCACTCTTCCTTCTCCGCTAGAGCCTTCAGTTTCAACCACCAATACCTGTCCACAAGAGACAGGCAGGTAAGAGACAGATGGGTGAGAGACAGACATGTAGTTATACCAGCAGGACATGTCTCACCTCTTGTCTGGGACTCTGAAGTCTCGGTAGAGTTGTTCTGTTTGTTTGTGAAGACCTAACGACAGCAGAGCCTCCATGGTCGCCTGGTGATGGGACACAGCATGTGACATCATTACCCACAGTGACATCATCCCGTCTGCCGACCAATTTATTTATTTACCTGGAGAGAAAGCCCTAGAAGTCCCGCCCCCTTCTCGTCATCCAGTTTTCGTTGAAAACGAAGGAGACGCATTTCGTCCTCAGTGGCCTGAAGATAAAATATTTTAATAACAAATTTTATAGCAAACTGTCCATTAATGAGACAAACAACCTGAGAGAGTGATGTGACTCCGTGTTAACAATCTTTGAGTGTAGATTGAAGATCAGTAGTTTGGGTCATGAATATGTTCATCTTTAAAACAATAAGAAAATCAAATAAGCTAAATAATAATCAAATGTTATATTAATTAATATAATACATAACATTTAGATATGAATATATATACTGTTCTATATACATTAACATATGATAAATAAAACAAACTAAACAACATTCACATACTAATGTAATATATACAATATAACATTTACATATTAATATAAAATATACTATATAACATATATATTACATTATTATTATGTTATATTCAATTTAAATGTGTTTTTACCTTTGTTGAAAAATCATTTTTTGCTTTGTTGTATTCGTCCACAGCGCTCTGCAGGAGAGACAGACGGCTCTCTAACCTCTGCACACAGACAGGTACAAAGACACAGACAGGTACACATCCCTTATAGAGACATAGCAAAAGCTGTTTAGACTTTTTAACTTATAAATGATGAAAATCTGTTTATAGATTTTAGTTAAAACATCATTGGTCAAAGCTTCAGGTGTCAACAACGTTTTAAACATCTTGTTACTATGACGACCTTTAAGGAACCAAATGATGACAACAGGTGTGAATAAAAATGTTGAATGCCTGTATGTTTAGAAGTTACACGTTACTCTGAGTATTTACCTTCTCTCTATAACTGGACGTCACGTAGTAGTTGGCGAGTTCCTGATGATCGTCGTCCTGATTATAAAGATCCTTCAGAGTTTCCTGTTCCTGAAGTTTACAGAACTGAACATGCACATCAATTAATAACCAATCAATACACATACTGATCACTGTGTTCTACTTCTGTCAGAAGGGAGGTCACGGAATCCACCAATCACACAACAGACACATCAACAGACTAAAGAGGATGATGAAGGTGAGTACCTGTCTGTAGAGGCTGAGAGCGACAGGTTGGTTCCTCAGAGTCATGAAGAAATCTCCTCTGTTCATCTCATTCTTCAGGTAACTGACGACCGTGTAAACTGACAACACACAGGTGAGTCCATCAGTGATATCATCAAAGACCTGTCTCAGCGGTGAGTCCATGAGTGACATCATCATGCACCTGTCTCACTCACCCAGGTCCGTGTCCCCACTCTCCACAGCTTTGCTCAGAGCCAACTGACTCCTCTTCATCTTCAACAGCAGAGGGACCTGTTCTCCAGAACGAGCCTCAAAGTCCAACAGCTCAGGAGACACACAAAAAACAACTATTAATCTTCACCTACAATACTGTATATATACACAATACTACAATATACCTATAGCACATCTAAAGGCTGTTACATGTAAAATACTATCATATCATCAAGGCCATAAAATTAAATATAGTATAATAAAGTTGAATCTAATCTAAAATACTTTAACATATTACCATATTATCTACAAGACTGTAACGTGTGAAATACTGTAATATCTAAATTACAACAACATGTAAAATACTATAATATCTACAAAACTGCAACATGAGAAATACTATCATATCGACCAGACAATACAAAATTCTGTAATATCTGCAATACTATGGCATGTAAAATACTGCAATATCTACAATACTCACATACAATAATTTGTACAACAGGTTAAATAAACAATATGTTATATATATATATATATATATATATATATCAGGAAGTGATGTCACATTGACTCGTGTGTGCGGGACTCAGTTACCTTGATGGCGAGCTCAGTGCGTCCACACTCATAGGCTTTCGCTGCAATGTGAGAGTAAGAAACACCAGGTGAGTCTCCCACCTTCACACACACCACTCGGGCAATTGCCTCATCTGATAGGTCCTTCTGCTGCACCTGGACACACCCATAATGACATCACACAGGTGATGATCAATCATAGATATTGATTCTATATATATAATATTCTATAAAATAGGCGAGGTCACAGGATAGAGGCAGGTCAGGTGAGACAGGTTACCTTACAAGACGCCCAGTGTTTCAGGACCCGACTGACACCCTGATAATCAGGAATCTTCAGGTAACGACAGATCTCTATCGCTAACGGATAAAACTGTCGATACACCAGCCTAAGAGACAGACAGAGGGAGCGAGAGAGAGAGAGGGGTGAGAGAAAGACAGGCAATAAGACAGGTCGAGAAAGAGAGAGAGTCAGATGAGGGAGGCACAGACAGGTTCCACTCACCTGTCTATCAGCACCTGCAGAGTCATCTGTTTAAACCTGAGGTGAAAGGTCAAGGAGTTTGTCATCATGGTAACAAAATACAGTATATGGGTTAGGACACTACATCTCCCATGATGCCCCTGTGCAGGGAGGATACTGGGTGTGCGTGAGCGGCAGACCCACGGCGTTCTCTCTGACAGAGTTCAGGACTCGCAGTTCTCTGCAGGTCGACACGAAATGATCTGGACTGAAGTCTGTCAGGAAACACTTCCCGAAGGATGCCGCCTGCAGGAGGAGACGCCACATTACACCGTCATGAAATGACCTCAGGTCCATTTATAATCTGACCTCAGGTCACTGTGTCTCACCCGCAGCAAAGACCTCTGGGTGTTGGAGTCATACTCGTGACCTGCAGCCTCCACACACTGTCTGACTGCTTCTCCCAGCATGCTTTGCTCTTTGATCTCCCTCAGGTACTCATCCGCCTTCTGACTGGACTTCTACACAAACACACATCATCAACACACATACTGTTAGACAGACAGACAGTCGTTCAGACAGACGGATACCTGGTACTCGCGGTGCGCCTCCAGCAGCAGAGCTCCAGGAGCCATGGAGGCGATCTTGAAGATTTCCTGACAGACCAGAGGAACCTCCTGAAGAAGCTCCTGATTGGAGGAGCTGATGATCCGAACTCCATCAAGTTCTCCAACCAGAACACACAAATCCTCCACAGGGAATCTGTCGTCAGAGGTCAAGGTTCAAACAAGTCACTCTGTGAAAACTAGAATCATCTACAGGAGATCCTCAAATAGAACCCTGAGAACCTTGACAAGACCCAGGAGAACATCTTTCTACTCACACAACGAGTATGCACTGATCCAGATCTGTTCTGGTTTTAAGGATACTGTATGGTGTCACCGCAGACTCCAGCCACCAGGAGGAGTCTGTCCCACATCAGCACCACAGAGGGCTGCTGACTCTTTGGTCTGCGACACCTAGAAAGAGTGTGACAAGTCAACGGGTGATCAAGCAAGACAGACAAGGAGAAGACAGTGAGACAGGTGAACATACCACACCATCTGTTTAGGGGTCGTTGTTTTCTTGGTGTCAATTTCACTCAGTTTGTCCTACAGACAAAAAGATCAGCTGTCAGTCATCCACACAGACGGTGCCTTCTGAGAGATGATTGGTCAGCAGAGGAGCTCACCTGGAGGTGGGAGGGACCTGTCCACAAGTGTCCCGTGTCAGTAAAGAGAGCCAGATATTTATAGCTGAAAGACACAGACATGTGGACGATGCTACCCCCCTGTGGACCGACACCTGGAGGACACTGAGACAGTGAGACAGGTGAGGTTAGATTCCTATCTGTCTCTCTACCTGTCTGTCTTTCCATGTGTCTGTCTCACCACAGCAGTACAAGACGTGTTGTCCAGAATGAAGAGTTCAGGTCCTATGGACAGAAGAACTTTGGTCTGTCTGTCCTGAGTCAGGACAACCCAACAAGATGGCTTCCCCTGAAGACCTGAGGAGAGACAGACAAGTTCGCGGAGAGACAGACAAGTCCGCAGAGAGACAGACGGACGGGTCAGACAGTGAGAACGGTCCAGAGAGACAGAGAAAGTAACCAGGTGATAAGCAGGTGTTACCTGGAACTTCAGGTAATCGGCGAAGCTTCAGGTCGTCAATGTTGGTTGCCAAGGTGAAGCGAGAAGAGCCGGTTACTATGGCAACACCTGTTCCATAAGGAGAGTGAAACACTTTGGCCTCCAATACCTGAGTCTGGACCACTTCCTGTTAGAGACAAGAGACTAGTAACCACACTGACCTGACCAATAGTGTTATTTATGTCATTAGTTAACAAGTTACCACTCTGACCTGACCCATACTGAAGTGTCTCTTGAAGGATCCGAACAGATCATAGATCAGAACTGATCCGTCTTCTTGAACACACAACAACTCGTCAGTGACTGTCCAACCCAACTGGACCACAGGTCCACTTTTCCACTGAGACACAGAGACAGACAGGTTCTTTAAGTGTGTCTGAGTGAGCTGCAGAGGATCTCTGGACTTTCTCCAGTTTATCTTTCACACGTGAAGCAGCAGAAGATTTTCTGCTCAGACTCGCACAACAAACAGGTGAGGGGCAGAACCGCAGACAGGAGAGATCACATGTTTTTGTTTACATCAACACCGTCGTCAGCTTTTTCCAAAACAAACTCTTGTTTCATCTTCATCGTGTGTGACTCCAGATATTTGTTTTCTCTTTTTTAATTTGTGTGTCTTTTTACAGGCGTCATCAACCCCCCCACTCGCTCGCAGTGAATCCTGAGAATCTCCGGAGAATGTCCTGAGATTTTCCACAGTTCAGTCTGAATGCAGTTTAAGTGAAGGTGAAGTGAAGGTGTTCTTACAGGAAAACTGGCAACAGCGACTCCAGATGCAGAATAAATTTCCAGTTGAGGACGAGAATTCGGAGAACGTCTGTGAGGTTCTCTGAGGAGGGCTGAGAGACCGACAGGTGAGAGAGAGAGAGAGCATGAGTATGTACTGTAAGTGTGAGCGAGCGAGAGTGTATGTGTAAGTATGTTATTGTGTGTACATGTGTGAGTGTGTGTGTATATGTGAGTGTGTGTGTGTGTGCTAGGGGTAACCCTAACCCAATATTTATCATCTACAATAATCTTAATCTTAATTGTTGTTTTAACAATGTGCAAACTCATGTTATCGAGTATTAGGTAGAGCCACACGGAGCGTGTGCTCCTCTCCCAGTATTTGATGACAATTAATCATTTTTGCAGCGTTCTAGAGATCACAGAGCCTTCTCATTCACGGTGTGTGTGTGGGGTTCTCTCAGCCTTATATCCCTGTCTCCCTCCCTCCCTCCCTCCCTCACACTAACTCTCATTCACCGACTCGTTCCGGACAGAGAGCCCGGCCCCGCTCCACCAGCGGTCTAATTATCGTTATCGGCAAAATCCCAGAAAAAAAATCGAGATATTATTTTTTTGTCAATATCGCACACCCCTAGTGTTTAAGTGTGTATATGTGTGCGTGTGAGTACCTATCGGTCCTCCATACGGTGCTGCAGCCACCAAACTGTCTCTGAGTCCGTCACGTATGTTCCAGCTCATGTCGTAAAGCTCTGATTTACTGCACATAAACAACATGTTAACAAAACACATACAAACACGAACACCTTCTTCGTCTGTTCGGTTTATAGGCCGGTGGCGTCCAAATTCATGGTGCATTACCGCCACCTACTGGATATGCTTCTTCTTCCTGACTGCAATCAACAACTTGACTATTTCATTCTCACATGTAAACGTCTCACAGACAGTGACGTCACTCGTTTGGCTGAACACTCTGCTCCGTTTCTCGTGAATCAAACTCTGCTGATGTCATCTGATGTGTCTGACACACCGGTTTCGAATGACTGGATGATAATAAAGCTAACAGAGCTAACACCGTCCCTTCATACAATTAAATTAAATCTAAAGCTAGCCTGAAGCTAACGTTAGCACTGTCACCAATACAGTGACGATGCTAACAGACAAATTTCAACCAGTAGCTAACTGTTAGCGTGCATTCATCTACTGTGTGTGGTTAGCTGCACGGCTAACTGTTAGAAGCTGTCACCGTGGAAAAGAGAAAATAAACTGACCGATAAAAAGCTTCTCCCAGCGGGTTCCAGTTGGCTGTGATGAACGCCATGTTGTTTCCCCTGGAAAAAAGAAAACACGTTCAGTTGAACGGTGAACACAGTTAGCTTCACAGTTAGCTTCTCAATTAGCTTCACTGCTGAACATTAAAAGTCAGCTGATCAGCAACCACAGCTTCTTCTTCTAGGGTTCAATGGGCAGTAGATGTTTCCTGTCTTCGCCCCCTGCAGGCCATCACGCGCCTCACAGCCCAAAAAACATTAGAAACGTTTAAAAACTAAATAACGAATAAAATGTCAAAAATCAATCAAGTAATATTTTAGTTTTAAACGATATTGATTTATTGATTGGTTTTGGTCAACATATGAAAAAGTTTAGTTACGTTTTAAAAAAGCTAAAATTAAAAAGTTTAAAAAAGAAAACAGTTTGTAAAGTTAGAGTTTAAAATGTTAAAAAGTTTCAACTTCTGCTGTTTCCTTTGTCTCTTAAATTCAATGTTTTTATCATTCAATTGATGTTTAAATGCTTTTCAGTGTTTTTAGCATTTAACGTTAATGTTTTCCATGAACAAAGGGCGAGAGACATTAACACACAAATACAGGAAGGGAGAGAGAGAGAGAGAGAGAGAGAGAGAGAGAGAGTTTCCTTCCAGATGACTTCACCTTGAAAACATTAGAGACACTGAAACACACAGATACACAGCCTGGTCGTAATGGTAACACACCCCTCCCCCCTGGGTGTGGTAGAGAGAGAGATTTTAACTCTTTAAGCTCTTCCAATGACACTTCCTTTAATTTGTTTTTATTTATATCATTTCACATTGAGCTAATGTTATATGTTAACTTTTTTAAGTTTAATAAATAATACATAATATATATTTGTTTTCATATTTACATCATCAATTTTATTTTTTAAAAGATAAATTCATATAATGTCAGACTCATAGGTCCAAATAAAAAAGTGAAATAAAAACAAATCCAAAAGAAAAATATAGAATCATCACATCCACAATGTTCATGACATTTGTTACATTTAAATTTTTTATAAACGTGTTCAAGTAATATAACCTTTTTTCCTTTTAACAAATACAATTGTACGTATTTATTTCTAACCCATTTTTGTAAAAGGTTTTTTAAAGGTTAGTGTTAACCGTATCAACAGGAAACAATAATAAACTCTTCAGAATAAAAGCCTTGTCATGTTTCAGGTTCAGGCAGTGAAGGAGTTAAAGGTGTGGAAGCTTCTCAGGGAAGTTAGATGGAAAGTTTTCCTGTGAGCCAACCAATCAGAGTGCAGCACACACACACACACACAGACTCAGAGAGAGGCTGGGAGGGCGAGGCAGATTCCACAGTGTTTTTTTACCGAAAAGTCTTTAGTTTTTAGTTCGACTGAAGAATCATGGTGACAACTGAGACACACCAGAGCCAGGACCTGCTGGTCCCCCCCCAGAACCTGGACCAGGACCTGAACCAGGACCAGGCCTCGCCCTCCTCCCTCCTGGCAGGGTTTGAGTCTGAGAAAATGAGTCAGGGTCCCGTCAACGCCATCACCGTCCTCACTCTCCTCGACAAACTGGTCAATATGTTGGATGCTGTTCAGGAAAACCAGCACAAGATGGAGGTGAGAGACTGCAGAGCCATCACAGACACCAACAGACACCAACCAACACTGACTGACATGCACCCATACCAACCGACACAATTAGAGACACCAACCGACACAAACAAAGACACCAACCAACATCCACCAACTGCAACATCGACCGACACCAACACCAACCGACACCAACACCAATCGACACAAACAAAGACACCAACCAACACCAACCAACCCTAACACCACCCGACACCCACCAACATGCACCAACCCCAATCGACATGCACCAACCGATACAAACAGAGACACCAACCAACAAGCACTGAAACCAACACCAACTGACAAACAGATGTTCACTTACAACCACAGACACCTAAAGACACAGTATACTGCCCTGAGTCAATAACAGATTCAATAATAAAGTCACTAAAACAGTCAGAACTGAATGTAAAATGTGTCCAAACCAAAATCCATTAAAAAAAACCACAACATTTAATTTTCCTGTTGACTCCATGTTCTTCACCTCCTCTTGTGTCCTCTCTCGTTTCTTCTCTAATGAAAGGGTCACATGTTGTTGCTGCAGAATAAAGCAGCTGTTTTCCAGATGTTAGATTCCTGACCAGTTTTGACCTGTATTGATGTTTTGATATACATATAGATCGGTCTATTGATTAATGTATTGCAGGTGCACCAGGTGGAGATGGAGGGTGTGGTCAGAGGGATCCAGGCTGATATGACCAAACTGTCAAAGAGTCACAGTCACACGTCAAACACCGTCAGTAAACTGCTGGACAAGAGCCGAAAGCTGTCCGTTACTATGAAGGAGGTACATGCTCACCCTTCAATCAGTGTGTTACCTGTCAGTCAATATCTCCCCCCTGTCAATCAATGTGTATTGTGCGTGATGTCATCCCAGGTGCGTGACAGGATGGAGCGTCAGGGCGTCCAAGTGAAGAAACTGGAGGCAAACCACGCCCACCTGATCAGCAGGAACAACTTCAAGGTTCTCATCTTCCAGGTAAGGTCAGAGGTCAGAAAAGTTTTATAAGACCATAAGTCCTGGTCCAGGCTACATTACATTAGATATCATTAAACTGACGTTTTTATCCAACACAGTGAAGCATGCTGGGAGACAAAGTCATCACCCGTCAGTCATTCACACAGCCCCCTTCTTTCTGTCAGTTGTTTTCAGTCTTTGACCTTATTTGGTCCTCATCTGCAGCAGGAAGTGAGCTGTAAAACTGGACTGTTATCATGTGGTCTGGTTGTCATGGTAACATCAGTTCAGGTTCCACTGAGCTTCCTCTGGCATTGTTCTGTTGTTCCTCTGCAGCTCCTCCGGGACTCACAGAAATATCCTCTAGATTCCACGAAGGCTCCTCAACATTAGGTTCTCCATACATTCTCTGAGGGTTCCGGAGTATAAGTAATGATCCACTTGAATTTATGTCAGATTCCACCAAGTTATTGTGGTTTAATTAGGGCCCTTTAGAACCAGATGAGGTTCCTGAGACATTTTCCCTTTCCCAGATTTCCGTCCAGTTATTTTTAGGTTCTGTGGTAATCCTCTGTGGTTTGTCTGTGGTTCCTTTAGCAAGAGATACATTCTGCTGTTCTCTCCATCAGGAGGAGACTGAGATCCCCTCTAGTGTTTTTGTAAAGGATCCTCCTCCATTCCCTCGTGATGAGATTCTGGAGGAAGGTGAGGAATCAGTGCCTTGCGTCACCGACAGCAACCAGTCTCAAGAGGGTGGGCTCCATACCATCGACCTATCATCTGATGAGGACGTCGGTCTGGAGGCAGAGCTGGAGGATGAGGAGGTGTGGCCTCATGACTTGGAGAACATGGAGAAATCCAGAGCGGAGAAACTGAAACGATCCAGTCTGAAGAAGGTGAGAACCACAGACAGGTGTTGAGTCAGGTGGATGGACGACAGGTGTTAAACTCTTTCTCTCTGCAGGTGGACAGTCTGAAGAAGGCGTTCTCCAGACATAACATTGAGAAGAAGATGAACAAGATTGGAACAAAGATTGTTTCTGCGGAGCAACGAGAGAAGATCAAACTGAAAACCTCCAGTCTGAAGGTTTCACCTTTGACCTTCAGCATCCGGAAGGTTACTAGATCTTTGTTGTTCTATGTTCCTCTAGAGTTCTACCATCTTGTAAAGGTTCTCCCAAGTTCTATAATTATTCCTTTATATCCCTGTGATTGTTCCACAAGGGTTCTTTAAATTATCCACACAAGGTCTGCCTAAAATACCCTCAAAGTTCCACTTAAGTCTTGGTCTTAAGTCTGTAACTTTAACTCCAAGTTTCTGCAACATTCCCCCGAGATCCCCATTGTTCTCCTTTAATAACTGTAAGGTTCCATCAACATTTTCTACTGCAATACCTGTGAGGCTCATTTAAAGTTCACTTAATTTGGTTCGGACTAGCTTCTTACATGGTTCCTCCGCTTAGGTAAGTATACATGTATACGTTTTTCCAGCAATGTTTCATCAACATTCTCCAAAGATTTCTTGACATTCTCAAAGTTTTTCACAAAGGTTCCATCAAGTCCACTTCAGGTTCACCTGAGGTTCCACAAAAGTTCCATTAGGTTCCCAGAGTTTCGTTACCATTCCTGTGACCTCTGACCCCTCTGTCTGTGTTTTTTCAGCCTCGCAGCAGCTCTGACTCTCAGCCTCCTGAGGCCTCCGCTCAGACTGGGGAGTCTGTTATCACAGAGGCCGATGTCCAGCTTTCCCCACTGGGCAGCAGCGACCTCGAGGTCCCCTTCACTGAGGTCCATGCCCAGGTGGCCCCAGGAGAGCCGGAGCAGGAGAAAGAGAAAGTGATAGATGAGGTGAAGGAAGGTGAGGAGGTGGCAGATGAGTCAGTGGTTTCAGAGGGAGTCAGTCAGGATTACGCTCTATCCTCCACCCTCCCTCAGGAGGACAAAGGAGAGGACGAAGAGGAGAAAAAGGAGGAAGAGTGCTGAACACTCGTTAATATTTAGTTTCTGATAAATCGTCTTCCTGTTTTGCTGAGACTCATTTTCAAATTGATATTGATAATTTAGCTAATTTGAGTAAATTTGTATGAATGTTGATTAATATAAATGACAAAGAGCAGACAGAATGTCAACAAGAGGAAACCACAACATTAAGGCTCTAAACTGGTGGAAATAGCTGCTTAGCCTAGAGTTAAGACTGTGAGGGAAAAACAAGAAGAGGATTTATCAAAATGTGAAACGATTTCTTTATATTTTAGAGCACACATTTGTTTTGTGATCAATATTTTTCTTAACTGATGGAGATCCACACACACACACACACACACGATCTGATCATGTGATAACGTCATCAAAAGTTAAAAGCGTTTGTTTCTTGGTCAGGTCCTTAATGACGTCTGTTCTTTGACTGAAAACCTGAGAATGAAACCGCTTAGTAGTGTTTTCTGAAACTTCATCTGACTGATATAAACACAATAACTAATAATCAGCTGATCAATAACATAATATATTTCAATTGAGACAGCTGTTTTAATTGAGGTCCTGCCAACGTTCTTCTCACATTCCTCTCTGTCATCAAGTGTCCACAAGCCCCGACATTCATATTGAACTCAAACCGAGGTCATTTACACCAAGTCTAAATGTCAAATTATATGTTATATATTATATTATGAAATATAAACAACACTTGATAACAGCACAGGAGCAGATATGGAGGCATGTTATGTTTTTTCTGTTGTTTTATTACATCTGAAGAATCTGTCTCCAGTTACTTCAGTTCCTTGGATTCTGCTCTAACTCTGTTTACCCTGAAACTCCAGAAGTGTTTTGTGGACTCAACCCCCCCCCCCAACTATCCCTTTAACATTCCACTGACGGATTGGACAGTGTTTCTTTAATGTTCCCATGAAGCGATACTAATGTTCTCCTAACTAATTCTCCAAATGTGCCCCTGATGTGCTACTAATGTTTCCTCAAGGTTCTACTAGTGTTCTCCTTATGCTGTCTTTATGTTCTCCTGATGTTCTGTCTGAATATTTTTCATCAAAAATCAATCGATTCTGCTGATTTCTATTCTGATCAATAACCTGTTGTTGATTGGTTATTCCTTACTGACACAAAACTATTAATAACAGTGGTGATTAAACAAACGGATCAAATATAAAACTAATAAAAATCTATCCGTTTTATCAGTTTGATGTTTTCAGGTTAAAAATGTTATTTTTTTAACACAAAAAACTGCAGCCAAAGAACATTTCCTCTATGTGTAGCTGAACTTCCTGTTCATGAGTTTTACCTGTGGAACTGTTACAGGTTTGAACCTTAGCTGAACTCTGCAAAAAATAAAAAACATAAAAACATCTTGTGTTTTGTTGTTTACCATTTTCAATCCACTTTGTTAAACTTGAGACTACAGTGAGGCTTTAACTGAATTCTTTAAATACATTTCTCAACTAAGTATGAACTGTTGTACTGGTGTCTTCTGATCTGTGTGGGCGGGGTCAGGTAATGGGATGGTCTCTTTCACTGCCAATGGATTGTTTCACGGGGCGGGGCTTTAAGCAAACAGACCAATAGATAGAGCGAGGGGTGGAGTCTGGGACGTCACTCCACATTGACACAGTTCAGTCCTGAGAGCTGAGCAGAGAGGACAAGCACTGAATATAGAAACATGTGTTTGTAGTACTGAGTGTATTAATACAGCACGTGTTCATACTACTGAGTAGTAATACTGATGTGTTGATACTACTGTGTGGACTGAGTGTAGTATTATCGGTATAGAGTACTGCAACCTCCTCCTCATCCTGCAGATGGACTCATCAGCGCCACCTGGACTCTCTCTGGTCGCAGTACTCTCTCTTTTAGCATGTAGCATCCAGGTGCTAACTGCCATCCTGCTAACACACAGGTATGGTGGGCGGAGCTCTGCGACAGACAAGTGGATCCTATTGTGGCTCTTCTATGATGTTATTGTCCACCTGACACTGGTATGACCAATCATAGAGTTTGTTTACATGTCTGTGGTTGTTGTTTGTTTTAGGAGGGGCCGTTTGTTTAC